CCCATGGCACAGATATACCAGTACCCAAGCCCCCTGCTACCTTGGAAGAGATACCTAGCTCCGATGAAGGTGAAGTCATACCTGAACCAGATGACGAATCCAGTTCTGACTTTGAAGATGATACAAGACCAAAATTGTTTTCTCAGGAGGAGATGAATGATTTGGTAAGAGACTTGAATCTTCCCAAAGATGCCGCTGAGTTTCTCGGATCAAGGCTGAAAAGAAGGAATTTATTGTTGCCAGGAGTGTCATCTTCATGGTTCAGACATCGTGAAAAGGAGTTTGTTCCTTACTTCGCCCAGGAAGACAAGTTGGTTTATTGCATCGATGTCGTAGGTCTGATGGGTCAATTTAAAATCCAATATGATTCAGAGCAATGGCATCTTTTTATAGATTCTTCAAAAAGAAGTCTCAAAGCAGTTTTACTCCAAAAGGGTTTTTACGCTTCCATACCTGTAGGTCATTCCGTACACTTGAAGGAAACCTACGAGATCTTGGAATTGGTTCTTCGTAAACTTAAATATGAAGACCATGGTTGGCAAGTGTGTGGGGACTTGAAGGTCTCGTGCATGCTACTCGGGCAACAAGCTGGGTATACCAAATACCCTTGTTTTCTGTGTCTATGGGACAGTCGAGACCGACAAAATCACTGGACCAAGAAGAGTTGGCAGCCGAGGGTGCTAACAGTCAGTGAAAAAAATGTCCTCCGAGAAACTTTGGTACCTTCCCATAAAGTTCTTGATAAAATTGGTATTGATGAAGCAATTCGTAAAATCACTTCCAAGAGATGGAGAATGCTTCAAATACTTGGTCATCAAGTTTCCATGCCTGTCAAAATTGAAGGAAGATGTGTTGGTCAGACCAGACATTAGAAGGCTTATAGTTGATCAAGAGTTTGTCAATACCATGACGAATCCTCAAAAAGAAGGGTGGATTGCATTTAAAGAAGTCGTACAGAAATTTTTAGGCAATAACAAAGATCCTCACTACAAAAAGATTGTCGGAAGAATGCTGAAAGCATTTCAAGCTTTAGGTTGCCTGATGAGTTTGAAAGTGCATTTCCTCCGGTCCCACCTTGACTACTTTCCTGAAAATTTGGGAGCTCTGAGTGAGGAACAAGGTGAACGATTCCACCAAGACATTAAAGAGATGGAAAGGAGTTACCAGGGAAAATGGAGCATTACAATGATGGCAGACTACTGTTGGATGCTTCAGAGAGACATTCCAGATGCTACTCACAAGCGTAAATGCAGCAAGAGGAGCCTCACAAGGAAGAAGAATCGAGTTTAGGTGAGCTCATTTCAGTTCAAAAAAGGATTTTCATGAAAATATTGTAATAAAACTTTAATTTTATAAGTCTATTTCCATTTATTTTGAGGTATTGCCTTATTTAACAAAGTTACCTAAATGATCAGGAAACGTGATGTCCTATGACAAAATGGAGGTCATTTTCGGATTCAGCGCACCAAAAAACATAAAGATTACGTGGAATAACCAAAACAGCTCTCGAAAAAAATTTTTTTGCAGAACTGTGATCAGCTGCCTGCGACCATGCATCATCATCCATATGATTTTATAATGACAGTGTCCCTGGTAAGTAGACATGTGCGATTCGTTTCGTTACGAATCGAAATTCGTACGAATTTTCCTGAAATTCCGAATTTCGGAGCATCCGAAATCCGAATGGCAGTTTCCGAATTATATTCGAAATACGAAATTCCGTTAACGAATTTCGGATCCGAATTTCTTTGAAACAGGAACTAATATTACCCCTGCTGCTGAGAGTTGCATTACAATACACAGTTACACACACAGGCAGGAAATCCGAAATTCCGTTGACGTATTTTCGTTCTGTTACGTACATTCGTTTTATATTGAAGTTAAAAAGCAAAGTACATTTATATTGGAGTTGAAGGTATTTTTTTTTAAGATCCGAAATTCGGATACGGAATCCGTTAACGGTATTCGTATTTCATTTTGGTTGACCAATCAGAGGTTCTCTTCTGCTGCTGTGAGAATTGCATTACAATACAAGCAGTAAATACGAAATTCCGTTGACGTATTTTCGTTCCGTTACGAACATTCGTTATATTGAAGTTAAAAAGCAAAATACCTTTGTTAATATATTGGAGTTGATTGATGGTAGTTTTTTAGTTTTTTTTTAATCCGAATAACGGAATTCGTATTTCGGATAAAAAAAACAACTACCACATCGACTCCAATATTAACAAAGGCATTTTGCTTTTTAACTTCATCATAACAAATGTTCGTAAAGTTACGAAAATATAACCGCCACTAACGAAAATTAGTATTTCGTACGAATCCGAATTGAGTTCAGTTACGCACAAGTCTACTGGTTAGATGGACGTATCACTTATTTAGATCTTATTACAGACCATAGCTGGTTCTCTCTGAGTGCATATCAATATTTTATTTCCTTTTTCATAACTTTTTGTAAATATTATTTATTTTCTTTAAAATCAATGAAGATATCCATGTAGTATTTTTTTTTTAGCCGGGAAAATGTTTAATATTTTTGAAAGAAATAAGTTAGAACGAAGCACTACAAATGGCACAGCACTACACTAAGGAAACGAAAGTATTCTACAATATCCTACTACTGCATCATTCGTTGTGTTCAAGCCTTAAAACAAACTTTCCATGAAAAATAAAGGTCTGCTTTCCTGACAGGCCCCTAAATACATATCTGCTTAATAATTCAAGTTAAATATAAACAAAGCGGTGAGGCACGATGATGTCACCTGCGCCTCCCATCGGAAGGTGGAGCAGAGGTAACTTTTAATTTATTAAAGTTTATTTTTATTAAGCTTTTTTTTTTACCGATATGCTTGGGGTATCAGTAAAAAAAGTATTTCATTATCCATGGAAGTTCACATTTTTAATGATACCGTACAATTCAGAGCATATAATGGTTGCTGAGTGAACAAGTTTGGCTTCATCTAGTAAGTTTATTGTTATCTTTCTCTATTAGATGAGTTACAATGTTGGTTTGCTAATGTGGAACTATGGACTGGGGGCTATCATTTTTTAACATATTATAATGAAAAATATCGCACCTAGTCCATCTGAAGGAAGTCCAGGTCCTTATTCCTGTAACCCAGGCCATCAGGGATATGCCACCTGAGGGTGTATGTCTGGGGCTCCCAGCACTCCTTATTAGATTTCAGATTGTAAGCCCTCAGGGGCGGGGCCCTCCTTACCATCCTGTCTTAAATTGTATTGTGATTGTAATGTCTTCCTTACATTGTAAAGTGCTGCGCAAACTGTTGGCGCTATATAAATACTATGTAATAATAATAATAATTATGTGAGTGTCACATTGTCCACGTATAAGGACTGCTAACAGCCGCTAGAGAAGAGGAGTGACCCGTGACATTATCAAACATAATATAACACTAATATATAGTCCGCAGCCTTAAAAGATAAAATATAGCAGATCACGCTTCCAATATATTTAACATCTTTATTTACTGCTAATAAAAGTAATAATAAAACGCACCTGTTACATTGGACATCTCTCCTTCTGAGCATGGCACACAACCATAACAACATTCAGTGGTATCTGAGCTCGGCACTTGTCTGTTTCCAGGTAAACAGTCCTCAGAACACTGCGATCTCGGGATCTAGATGTGAACATTTTTTGTTACAAAACCTTCAGATAAAATGTTTAAGTGATAATTTATTTCATTCATTTACATCATTAAAATAAGATAGATGAATATTTCTTGAACACGGTCTCTGTTTGCCCCCTGGAAACCATTGTCACAGGCACTGGAAGTAATCAGAAATCTTTCAGCTTTCACCAGAAGAGGAATAGAGAGGAAATCTTCCAATGGGGACACTTGTTCTAGTGAAAACTGTCTAAGAAAAAAAATTATTTCACTTCCTGTTCTATTTATAGGACACGGCATGACCATTTTTGGTCAAGGACATCATCCGGGATCCCGGTCCAGTTGGTGTTCATACAGCAGCTGAGATCTGTCATTTTGTAGTGTTAGCGAATTAGATGAACATAATGGGGAGGTGGGGGTGTCATGTTGATGGGTCAACATCATTGGGCAGCGGGTCATTGCTGGACCATGTGATTGGATTTACATTGGGGGACATTGTTTTCTTCCTGTTTTCAAATAAATGCTCGCAGTGTAGATGTTTCTGTAGATTTGCTGTTACCATGTTGTGGGAGTGCACAACAAACGTTACCTTGTACTCAATCCTCTTAGGGGGGCCCAGATATCTGGAGGGGGTCTAAATTCTGATAGTTCCCCCATCCCCAGATCCCTTTTGTGGGACAAGATGAGATCAAGGGGGGAAAAGGCTTTGCCACCTTCTACCTCTTGCAAGTCCTTTCCCAATGTGGAGGACAAGTGGTCTGGTATGGTTTAGGGCTGTGCCTCCTTTCCTGAACATCTAGCCTGCATGTTTGAATAAAGGTCTGATATGAATTTTAAGGGAAACCCCCCACCTCATTTTTGAAGGTACATTACATATAAAGTAAAACGAAAAAATGCCATGAGGTATTCCACCTAAAATTTGAATCAGACCCTTATTCAGGCATGGAGCCCCATGTTGTGGGAACAAGGGCCTCATCCCCACAACCTGTTCGCTAAGGGGGATGTGGGAGTTTGCAAAGGGGACTCATCAGAAACTGGAAGCCCCCCTTCCACTATGTAAACAAACCAGAACTCTGGGAGATGACATTGATCAAGTATGGTAATGGATATATTTGGTCAATGAGGTCACCAAGAATGCCCGGCTGGTTTGTTTACAAACATTGGCTGGAAGTTTGTGAGGGGAAAACTGGCTAAATATGGCCACTTTGTTCAGCTCTTCATAGAAAGCTCATCCCTGCTGGTGACTGGTCCTCTGCCCTCTGCTTGCCTTGTCTGGGTGCAGCTTTCACAGTACAGGTCCTCTTCAATCTTACCTCTTTCTGGTCATTCTTCCATTTTATTAAACTCGCATTGATTAAAATTTTCTGATCACCGGAAGTATATTGCTCAAATAATCCGACATCATTTGTGAGTAAAGTTTTATTGAGTAATAAATGGTTTTGGATAACATATTGCGTAACAAATTCTCCGTCTTCGTTAAAGTAGTTTTGTGAAATGTTTTCTGAGAAGTAGCGTCGGGGCCCTTCATGGTTTCTTGCACCGGGGCCCTGAAGGTTCTAGTTACGCCACTGATGAAACTATAATGGATCTTTATTGAGCCATGGACCTCAGGTGTTTCTGGAGGGCTGGACTCATTTCACCCCATCACTAGCTGTGCCATCACTACTCCATCTTCTCAGTATGCCTGTTATTTATTAGAGGTATTTATATAGCAGCGACAATTTATGCAGCGCTTTACATAGTTGCACATTCACATCAATCCCTACCCTCAAGGTCTAGCTTACAATCTAAGGTCCCTATCTCACATAGAGGACCAACTTAGAGAAGAGCCAAAGCCAATTAACCTACCAGCATGTCTTTGGAGTGTGAGGGAAGCCCATGCAAACGCCTTGCAGATAGTG